CGGGAGAGCCCGGTGCCGGGCAGCGGCTGTCGGAGGGAGCTTTGCCCGCGCTGGGGCCCGAAGCCTGGCGTTCTCCACATTGGCTGCGTTTCGGTTAGGCTGGACGGGGATTTCAGCCAGGTCTTTCCACTCCGTTGCTTTGTTCTGGAGTTCATTCCAAAATAAAGGGTGACGTTTCTCCCCGTGGTTTTCGCTAGGCGGAGGCAGGCTTGCGGCTTCCCCCGGTGCGTTCACCTGCGGCGCTGGGTGTTGGGTGCCCGTGGAGCACGCTGCGAGTAGGGCGATTTGTGTGAGAAGTCACCACCATCCAGTTACAATCAAACAGGGACAATATTTTCATTTTCAGACTCTGGAGATACAGCCAGAGTTCTTCGTTCACATGGCAGCACCAAGCTCCACTCCGCCTGGCTCTTTGGATCTAAACCAGCCTGGATTTGCAAAGGAGATCCTGGGAACCAAGCTGGAGGTCAAATACCTCTGCTCCGACTGCAAGAACATATTGAGGAGGCCCTTTCAAGCTCAGTGCGGCCATCGCTACTGCTCCTATTGTCTGAAGAAAATTATAAGGTAACTTCTGTGCCGTCAGTCTGAAGACAAAACGCTTGAACAGGCGTCTTCAAACAAAAAAGGAGAGAAAAGTCTTGTTTTCAGGGCCTTCCTAGCGAGGGAGCTGTGTTTTGTCGTTGAGTTTCAGCGCCAGGTCTTCCTTAATAGAGTGTGTGATCTCTGACTCGCTTTTATTGTTCCGGGGGTTGTTTCAAAATTCCCTTTTCCAGAATCTCCCGGATTGTTTTTGCCGTTTGGGTGGTGATCCAGGTGGATCACCCATCCCCTTTGGCCTTCCTCACAGCTCCTAAGACTCATCGTATGGCTGTCGTGCCGAAACGGGAGAAGTTTCAGCACACGCTGGCTTCCAGAAAAGTTTCCTCGTGTTCTGTCTCACTTTTGCCTTTAAGTGAGGGAAGTTGACTGGAGAGGTTAAGCAGGAGAAGAAAAAAAAATTAGAATCAGAAATGAGCATCAAGAATACAAGTGAGCAAAGGCTCAGTGTGTTGTTTCAAAAGTAAGAAAATGCTTTAATTTTAGACAGTTACCAGAAATCCTTTTATTGTTAAACCATCAGTCAGTCTCTTTTTGTTGTGTTTGATGATTATTCTTCTGTCTGCTAGTGCTGGGCCTCAAAAGTGTGCCAGCTGTATTCAGGAAGGAATATACGAAGAAGGAATTTCTATTTTGGAAACAAACACGGTAAGTAAAAATGCATTTTAAAAAATAAAGCAGCTCACTGATGTCATTAATACCATTTGCAGTTTTTGTTTAAAACACGAGTTCTGAGAATCCCTGATTCCTAGGAAATGTTTTCTGCAGTAGTGAGAGTTATGATTAATGTGGTGGACTCCCCAGCTTCTAAAATCCAGGTCGCGTTAATATGGCAGTGGCCTACTTACCGGCTGTGATAACGATTTGTTTGCCGTTAGCACACCTCTGAGGGTGCGATGTGGCAACTTGCTTGGGAGGAGCCCTAATAAAGCCGTAATAAAGAATGAAGAGACTAGACTAAAACTGCAACCCCTCAGTAATTTTTGTGGTTTTGCTGTTTCTTTCCATTTTAGGCTTTCCCAGACAACGCAGCGCGTCGGGAGGTGGAAAGTCTGCCTGCTGTCTGTATTAACAGTGGCTGCACTTGGAAGGGGACAATTAAAGAATACGAGGTAAAGACCAAAGCAAGGCTTTTGGTGTCTGCACCCTCTTTCTTTCCTCTGTGTCTGGGGAAGGCTCGGGTGGTTTTGCTTGTCTGCTGGCACTGACGGCGGTGGTGGGAGCTTTCACCCCCCTGGACTTCACTGTAAGCCGGCGAGATTCCTTGCCTGAGCTAGGTTTGTGTGCCAAAAGACAAGCGAACTGTCAAGAAACTGTGCTGTGCCATGAAATTGTTGCCAAGTTCTCTGCGTTATGTGAACCTAAAACCTACTTCAGACCCATGAGCTCGGAGGCAGCGGCCTGGCCACGGTCCTGGTTGCAGCCAGCTGCCCCCCCAGCCTCAGGGCGGTGGGCTGGGCGATGGTTGCTGACTGGCCACCCGAGCTCCTCTGGGCCACCAGCCCGCTGGGCAGAGCGGTGTTTCCACCCCTGCTCTTCTCCAGGAGCCCACCAGCTGTTTAATCCGGGCCTGCATCGTGGCTGTGGGTGTCTGCTCCTTAGCGTGTGTACAGCTAACGTGCCCCATGGGAAGCGTGTCCTTGCTGTGGATGGCGGTGGACGCCATGCTTCCCTGGGCTTGCCGCCACGTCAGCTCTGCTGGGGCGATTTGCACCATTAAAATGCGTTGCCGGTTTGTAGTGAACGGATGTTCAGATGCGAAGCTTTGGTGCTCCTGAAGGACAGCTTTGTCGTCCCTCTTGGAATGGAAGAACCACCATGTGGGGGACCTGAGGTGACAGGAATAAATTTTATTTCCCTCTAGCACTTGCCTTAGGTAAAGGTTGTAACCCTGTGGTTCATGGAGCTTTGGTGGTGACCGAGATGTGTGTCAGGAAGAGGGTTAGCGTCGGTCTGTCTAGGCCAACATTTGGGTTCTCTTTGTGATGCCACTGCAAGATGCCAGGAAGAAAAACCAGCTGTAGCTCATGGCTGAGTTTTCTGCGCAGCTTGCTGAGTCTGTTGAGAGATGCTTCTGCGCCTCTGCTTCCTTGTCCTGCTGTCTAGAACCTTCCACTTCTTTCTGCTACAAGTTCAGCCCAAAAGATGAGGGGATGTAGGGGGCTAAATGGTTCTCCTGCTGTGAAACCCTCACGCGGAGATCTGAGAGTGCCTCATGGTGCGGATGTAGAACTGAAGAAACGTCAGGTTAAAAGCTTAACGCTGATGCAGCACTGGAAGTCTGGGCATTGCATTTCAGGGTGCAGCGTGCTTTACTGAGGTTCCAGGTTCAAGCTGTGCTGTTGGTGCCTGCAGACTGTTTGACCCGCGCTTTAATTTCTGCTGGGGACCAGTGACTGGAGGTTCAGCGCCTGCTGCAGTGTGCAGAATGGTGATTGTAGTAAGTGAGCTCATCTCCGTTAGACTAAACCAAATTATATTTGTCAGCAGTTTCCAGTGCTGTGGATTGTGCTGTGACTGATGAGCTCTGCTGAACTTTTTCTCCTGGATTTAAAAAAAAAAAAAATCTTAAAGAGTTCCTGCAGAGCTCGGCAAAAATCATCAGCTGCCAAAGGTCCTTCGTGTGTGGTCTTACAAGTGTTTGAACGCAGGCTTGAGTCCAGCCAGAACTTGCACTGGAAGCTCAAAAGGGCAGCGAGCTGTCATGGGGGGGACGTCTCTCTCCTTGCAAGGCTGCGTGCGTGTGTGTGATGCTCCAGGATCTGCACGACAGCTTGAGGGTGCCTGAACTGACAAGGCTGTGCCTCTTTTTTTATTCTCCACCTAATCTTCAGAAGGTCCTGGTAGGTGCTGTGCCAAAACAGAGCGTGTTCCACAGAGGGGCGGCTCCGCAGTGCTGGGCTGCAGGTCTGCAGCACCGATCCTGGCTCTCACGGCTGCCGTTAGCCTGGGGCAGCCCTGGGCGAGGACGGGGAGCGGGGCTGGCTCGTCTCGGGGCGGGGCGGGCCCCTGCTGCCC